TATACTCTCCTACCAGATCTGATCGCAGCGTTTGGTTGGCATCCTGATTAAATATGTACACACAACGCTGTTCTCCCTTTAGGCAGCAGAAGCAGCAGAGGTGGTGGCCCTACAACTCGATAAATTCAGTCCTACCATGAGACCTGGAGAACGACGATGGTATTAAGACAGCCACGCGTAAATCTAACTTCATCACAGCCCTATGCCCGCATCATCTGGCAGTAAACAGTATAGCAAGTAGTATCCTTAACTCGGCAGCGTGTCCAGCCGACAACGCTGACCGATCCCAGTTCGCACCGTGTAAACAATCTTGACATCATCTGCTCGTAGACGATAAAACGTTGTTGATGGTTTGTCAATTCGTTCTATGAAATACGTACATCTTGAAATAGTGCCGCTGACCGCCACAGCTGATAATATATAGAGTGAATACAGAACTCATAGTTCGTTCAGATCAGCAGTTACGTCCTGGCAGCGACCGAATAAAACACTAGAAGATTTTGTAGAACTCACTGGTTTAGTCTAGTGTTTAATAGTTCACAAGCAGCAACACTCTCAACGACCCCAGGATGCCGTTTCGCGCAGCAGAAAAGTGGGATCAAAGTTAACCTACGGGCAGAACGGCCGGCGGAACAGGCAAATCCGATGGTAATACTAGAGATAGCATAGGTAAACGAATAGACAGAGGGAAACAAAAGACAAAAGGAACAATTTTAAAAGACGAAAACAAGATCAGTTCATCTACGGCACTATCTAATGGTACTTCAACAGACACGAGGCACTAAGTGAGTATTGCAACAAAGTGCTTACCGTTTCTCAATAATTGACATGGTTGCCAAGATGTCATTACCGTCGCCGCCGGCTCTGAGGACGATACTCGCCGCCCGTTGTGCTGGCCTAGACTGAAACGCAGAAGAAGAGCTATCTCCTGCCGTGTAATACCAGTGCAGCATTCGACCGCGGTTCTTAATCGTGACATAACCATCGCTTCTTTCTGTAGGCGCGCTTGACAGCGAGGGATCGTTCTTTTTGACAAGGCAGGCAACATCAATCGCCAATACGCAGTGTTACAGCAGCGCCAATGATGACGAGAAAGTCGCCAAACATCGCCGAATCGAAGAAAAACATTGACGTCGATGTTGGAACTAGTCAAATAGACCCTGCTGAACGTTGCTTAGAACGAAAAAACCAGACGACGATTTCGGCGGCCGTGGTCATAGCAGACATGAACGGGTCGACCTTAAACGCTGTGCGATAACAAGAAAGGACTCCGGCTAGTTTACCACCAGGCGCACGCATTGCGTGGCGAACGGCAGCCACGCCTTATACCACACATGCCTGTATACTTTCTTATACAGGAACGAAGAGGTGTTGAGATTGACTCGATGAAAACTGATAAAGATCGAGGTAAACGTCACTGTTATGCGACCGATGGAACAACTCTAATGATATTTCATGTAATCGATAAATTGAATAAAAACTTAGTGTTTCTCAGAAAATTCTATCGCTTTATTTGACTTCCGCGAATAGCCTTTCATTAAGGACATTATGGCCCGGGTACGAATGAGATGAAAAAAATGCTTATATATATTTATACGTATCGCGCTTTATATTGAATATAACTTTCTTTATCATTATGTCGGTTGAAACACATAGGGAACGTATATCGATATCATAGCCCGCGAAATTCTTCATTTTTCTTCAGTTCATCATAGTTCTGATATAGTGATGTACTAATTTTGGAGTGACAGGTGAGCCCGAACGCAGATACTATCTCGTTCCGTTGTATATTTGATAGATGTGCTTTGCTGATTCTCGTTATTTACCATCGACAGCCTCTATCTAACAGCGTTCTTCGTGATAGCGTGTTCTTGTTCCTTCGCAGGGATTTCATCTTCGCAGCTGGTTTCAATCGTTCGCTGTCGTCCACGCTGCATCCCCTTCAGGTTCTTATATTGTCCTTTTGCGAGGCCATGCTTTGCAGCGGACCTATGACATCGATGATGATGATTTAGCATACACACTTACAATACGCGGTCCATATGTGCACAGTGTTGATTCTTCTTCGGAAGGACGCCGTTGCTATGACATAGCTCTACAAACTCGACACTTCCAATGACGATGCCTCTCTTTTTCTCCCCTCAGTTCTTCCTGTATCTTGCCTTTGCCCCACAAAATGGAGTTTCACTCATAGCAGGCTGCTGCTGACGTTTATTCGCCATAGGTGCTAGCTCCCTCTGGCTCCCGACAGCTGGATAACAAAAGCTCAGCAGCCCCTCGCTTTCGTTTAGGGCCACGAAGAGAGCGAGCATACCTTGCACTGCCATACCCCTTCTCATCCTCGCTATGTACGTTTAGTCCCCTTGCTCTCTTATCTCCTTACGTCTTTGACTCATTGGGCCGTTCGCGTCAGGAGTCGTGAACTGTGATATGGAGGGGAGTTGCCAGCGAGATGGTGTGTCAAAAATAGCAACAGGGAAACATGACCAATTGACCGATGAAGCGCCCAGATTGCCGGAGGCCCCAAAACCACTACCTCTGGACGCAAGGTTAGAGGGCAGGTTAGTAGAATAGTGGCAGCAGGATGTTGTCGGCCTGATGGCCTTCTGCTTAGCGATGCCATAGAGAGTTGGCGATGCAACAGTGTTGGCTAGTCGGCGTTGGTACCATTATAATGGCTCCAGCAGGCGAAAGCATCCGGGAGCGTTGTTAAAACCCTTTAGCTTATCTTTGACATCGTTTTAGGCTTTATCATGCAGGCAGGGGAGGGCGCACGGGGTAAAACGGGACGCTTGAGTAGTTGTCTGGACTCAAGGGTCGAAACAGGAGCGGTATCAGGGATAGGAATGAACGCAGGGGCAACTACAGCTAATTTACAGGAAGTAGGCTCTCAGAAAAAGAGAAAGATTCTACTATGGTCAGATCGGCTCTAAGGAAAGAGAAATACAATCGATTCGTCGGCGATGGTTTCGTAGGCGACTAGCCTATGTTGGAGTGGCTGGGTTTGTAGGTAACGAGTTTGAGTTATTTTGTTGCGAGATTATTTAACGAAGTCTACAGTTGGCACACTTTAGAGTGGCTTACAAATGGCTATAAGAGATGAATGTATATCTTTGCACAGAGGTTTAGAAGACAGATCCATGAAATTATTGAAAGCCAATCTTCTGATGAAAGGCCGAAATATCAATTGTATGTGATGAAACATTTCTATAATGGGAAAATAAGTTGTTCGCGACGATAAGCTGCTGAGTTCTGTAACATCTGGCTAGTTTGCTAAAAATCTTTATTTTAACACTAGACAAATATTTTTTCTACAAAAGTCAGGTAGCTGACAAGTTATTATCACGCCATGTTTCACGCTTACCTTTGCCAATTGTGCTTGCTCGTATTAGCAACCATATGTAGAGTAATGCTGTAACATCGGTAGTGTTGGTAGTAGGTACGGCCTGTGGCGATTTTCATTATCTTGAAAACGGCACGGTGGGTCGGCGTGTGAATAGGCCCCCGTTGACTAATACAGTGCTGTTACTTTAGCTAACGAAGGGACGTACATCTAGCGCTTGTCTCAGAACCAGAGTACGGGCTGAATGCTGGACCCATTGACATGGCTTATACTGCATTCAGTAGCTGTATTTGAAGAAAAACAGTACTCTAGGGGCAAAATACTTTGTTTAGTCGAAGTACCGGGATGACCCCACAAAGGGCTATAAAGATCTCAGGATTAAATAAAATCGCATCTCGGCCGCTCGTTTACTTTAAGGGTTTATTAAACCAAGCGTATATACTTTAACCAATAGCAAGAATAATTGGTTTCCACTACGATCGGAGAAAATCGTGCATAGTCGAGAAATCAATCGCAGATGATGCGATGCTAGCGACTGCTTTGTAGCATAACCGATCCATAGCAAAGCGTTACTGGGCGCAATGTTTGCGGTTATTACCATACGGCTGTCGGCTGATTCTCAAAAGTATTAGACTACCTCTGTTTTTTTTTTTCTTAATGCGTACGGATGGTGGAACCGTGGGACTGACACTATTGTTGTTTAGCGCGGATATTGGTCGCGGGTCTTCGTGTGGCTGGATACGTACTGTCAATACAACGTCCTGCTAAAATAGATATACGTATCGAAGTCTCCTTCGCAAGGTTTGTTTATGACCGTTTCGTAAGTTGGCGAGTCTTATGTGTATGGTGGTACAATTAGAGAACAAATCTGTATTGATGTAACTCTAATAACCATTTGTTCTGTTGAGTAATGGCCTCAGTATAAGCTGTGTTGAAATCGAGTATTCATGGAATCAATGTAGGCGCCTAAAAAAATCCATATTATTTATAATGGTGGCCTAGATATGATGCTCCTCCCAGGTTTCTACTACAAATGTGACCAAAGCTAATATTATTCCGTAAGGGATTTACTAATTGTAGATGGAAAGTAGGAACACTAATCTTCCATAGGTGCTTGCGGTTCGCTTTATAAACTATCAAACAAGCATTAATGAGAAAGTAGTTTAGCCATTATGTATCACTCAGATGCGTATTTTGGGATTAATATTTGACATTCTCTAGGTAAACATTTGTTTAGAATAAAAAATTATCCGACGTACTATTAGGAGCGGGACCAATCACTCAATAATTCTATTGATGGTAAAATTTACTAGAAAAATCCGTATATATATACAGATTTTTC